AATAGTTTGGGGATTATTTTTTTAACATACAATTTTGAATTTTGAATCTAAAGGCTGAACATGCACCTCATTTTTCCTTATTGCATTGAGAGCATTACACATGTACTCACACTGTCAATCTCTTGTTAGTTGGGGGAGGTGGGGTAGCCTAGTGGTTAAAGCGTTTGCTTGTCTCGCCAAAGACCCCGGTTTGATTCCCCACATGGGTACAATGTGTGAAGCCCATTTCCTGTGTCCCGGTGCCAGGGTATTGCGGGAATATTGCTAAAAGCAGTGTAAACCAAACTCACTCACTCTTGTTTGTTGAAACATCAAAAGTTTCCCACCAACTGTGGCTGTATTTTGCCGACTTAGCTTCATATAAAACACCTCACTCGCTCTACTATAAACATTAATTTCATGGCTGAAATTTGAGTGTTAATACAAAACCAGCTGTTTTTACCTCGACAAACCCAGGAGAGTAACAGCTTGAAGTATTAACACAGAAATATACCAGCATGTGAAACAGAATCTGTGGACCAATTATCATTATGTGACTGAGTTTCTCCCAAACCATTCATGATAAAGAGCTGCTGCTTGGTATCAATAACCAACTGCCATTCGTTACCCCTGAAGTATAAATATTTCGTTTACAGCCTGGCCACTTACACAAGGCATGCATAAACAAAATATTGATAATGACTTTTATTTTTAATCTGAAATCTTCAATTGAGTGAAGAACAAACATATTTGTTAATTTTTCATTCAGCAACTAATGTATCTAACAGCATGCAGTTCACATTTCAACAAGCGCACATATTAGATGTCCGCGTTCTCACACTTACTGACATCCGGCGATAAATCTGGCATTATCAGCCTGAAAATTACACATTTCAAAACCTACAGGAGATGTACGAGTCTAATGTGATATATACGAGACGATCAGCGGCGGAATCGCTTGCAAACCCTGTTGTTATACCTCTAGTGAGCTGTCATAATGTGCAATTACGATGACACCAGGTCTCAGGCTGTGCTATTAACCAGTACACATTTCAAACCATCCCTATGTCGTCCCTTCAGTCCGCCAGACACAAATGTCGTAAATTGCAAATTGACATAGACGTGCTATAAGTGCCAGACATAGGTGAACAAAACAAGCAGCTTTCCCCTCCACCCCACCCTCAATAACCCCTTGGTATTTCCTGCTGTTAGTTTATATTGCCTCGACAGCGATATAGATTTCAGAGTCGATTGAGATATGTACAAGCAACACCGAGCAGCATGAATGAGGAGGGATACATATCTGAAATAATTCGACCGTGGGGTCTTGACACCAACTTGAAAAAGCACCTGTTTTGTGGAAAGTGGAGAAAGATCGTCTTTTTCTTATCTTAAGTTCAAAGGAATAACTTACACATCAAGTGGCATAACTTACATCACGCATATGGGCGATGTAAAGATACAAAATAAATTCTCTTGAATTTTCATTCAATCATATTTTCATTGCTTTTCTTATGATTCAAGAATTTCTTATCTTCTTCTTGCAATAAAAAAGTTGTCTATTTATAAAAGTTTTCCCCTTCTCTTGTAGGGTTATAGTGATCAACCTGGTCATAAAAAAGTCTCTGATCACAAAAATTCATACTTCCACATTGCTCATAATCTTTTAATTTCTATGAATTTATCCTTAATCATATAAAAGTTAAATTTGAGGTGCAATGCCATTATGGTTAGAAGGGCAACAGATTTAATACGTTAAGGCAAAATACTTTTATGGATGATGACTTCTTTAGTCTATTATGGTGCGATATTTCAGTATAGATTCTTATACCATCGACGCTTAATATGAGACACAGTGACCTACTGAGATCAACATCCGCCAATCAAACAGCAACGTTTTTATTGTGATCCAAGGACAGTGAAGATGTGGATTTCACCACCCATGCCCTCAAGCCCTTGTACCAAGCACCCACTGATACCAGCAGCCAACACCAATATCAAAACGAGATGTCAAACACAAGATAACATAGAAGCATCATGTGACCCTCATGAAATTAACAAGAGTAATCAATAGCATTACTGCTGCAATGTACACACTACACACATCCATCAGTCTCTGGTAGGGATGAGAAGGCCAGGTTTAAGAGTATAATAGAACACAGGTATGATGTTACATCAGCTTTGACATCAATTAGCTATCGATTTCAGAGAGAACCAGTGCAATGAACGTTTACCTGAAAGGTGAATAAATCTGATACAGGTGTCTCGTGACATTGATACATTTCACTGAGGTGACATGTGCTTACATAGGATGATAGGTATCAGTACAAAACAATTAAATTTTTATTGAAATATCTTTGTTAGGTATCACCATGGTAATTCCAGAGCAGAACAGGTCCCCGGTAAGCCATGCTTGATGTAAGAGGCTATTGAAATGGGCATCGGTTGGTTCCAGTGAGTGACAGGCTGAATGTGGGTTATTGCACTCTGATAGTGTATATTGTTTGTCATCCTGCCAACCACTTTGTCAGGCACCAAACTGATTAATGTATAGTCGTGTAGACTGCTGTGATATATCGTCATAATCTTGCATACCTAGATCAAAATATTCAAAAACTAAATTTCAAGCACAAATGCTAAAAGATTACCCAAGAAGTGTGATGCAACATTCCGTATTATGTATTTGTAACAATAATAAAATTCAATAATGTTCTAGCAAATAGTCAGGATTACAGTACACTGACAAGAAAATGTTTGAAATGAAAGAAGCAGTCTTATAATCTCAATCTTACCATGTGAAGAAATAGTTGAAGGGAGACAACTCTCCATTGACTAGTACATGTGACATCCCATTTCCTGTACTGTGACTCATTCTCACAACACAAAAACTCCAGTAATACATACAACACTGCACTAAAGACATCATATGGAAATGACAGAATGTTCCTTAAGCTTTTTAACATCAACAACTCCATTTGTTTTCAGATCACAGCTAACTGACAGGAATATGGAGCTAGGCCAGGTCTGTGGAACCCAAGCCTGCAGTATGATTCAGCTTCTGTGCAGACAATAACGTCTGATCATGGTCCCTCTCAACAAACAGAGTTTATTGTTATGGTGATCCCCATACCTTAGCATTGACTTTCAATTGTCATAGCACTGGTTGATTTTGTCAATTTTGCATGTCCAAGTCATGCTTTGTTTGTCTAGTAGGCATCCAATGGTTTGTCTGGCCAGCAACTTACATTTCTAAAGCCAACATTGCACAGCTGAGTATTGCAAACCTCAATCTTAAACATTCACACACTCTCAAGCTGAAGAGAGAAATCCATCGTAAGTATGTGCCAAATATATTTTAGTGTTCCAGCCAAGATATAACTATCAGCACTATTTTAAACAGATTTACTTTTATCAAGGCGATTATTGTTACCTGAACTTACTAGACCAAACACAATTATCCAGACTTGTGGAATAAGTCACAGGCTGTGAAATATAAAAACATATTCATACTTATCTTAAAAAAACAAAAAACTCCTAAAAAATATTAAACACAATACTTCTAGTGAGAAATACACACTTTAAGACATAAATAGTTGATTTTCCCCTTGACTAACAAATAGTCTCTGAAAGGAACCCTGAGACTTTCTTCCTGAAGCTGTGGAAATCTAGACTTGCCACATCTTCTAGACTTGTGTGGGCTTTCTTGAATATATTTGCTTCAGGGTCTGTATGACAGACTAATTTTCCCCAATCTTGCATTGTAATTCCCAACATTTGGCTTACTGCTACAGAGTACTTCAATGATATGAAACATGATGACCCCAGTGATACAAGGCTTACGATACAATATTTCAATTTATAACTCCTGTACCTGAATACATTACAAGTGATATTGATGAAAAAAAAAGTGTCAGAATCCTAACTGCAGAAAGGGATAATCATGAACTTCTGAAATAAAAGTGTCAGAATCAGTAATCATATCGGAGAACTAACCGGTTGTAATATTACATTATCCCTCTACATTGGTCCCATAAAATTTATTAGAGTCCCTTTGATTAAAAAATAGACCGATCTTGTTAAATCTTGTAGCCATGTCAACCATGTACATTTACACATAGATCAAAGATTCTCTTAATCATCCCAAATTGTTATCAAATTCCAACCCTAACATCTTACCTATCTTACAACAAACATCAATCAAGATAATTCCAATATGAAAGATCCACTATCCACATTAAACTAATACCCTATCAAAAGAATTCCATCGCACAAAATATTTCAAACATCTAACACCTACATTAAACAAGAAAACTTCCACAATATAACACAGGTATATCCTTCTATACAAATATGGAGTCAATAAAGGGTCTCATGGACAAATCACACCCAGCCCTAGCACTACCTCAACAACAAACACTTAATCCTGGCACTAATGGAGCCGGCTCGCAGATATAAATGCCAATTTACAAAGAGATGGCGACAAGTCAAGCAAATAAACGATTCTGTATACAAGAAGCCATGTGTGTCGAGCATAGACAGCCAGTTCCTGCACCAATAGGCCACCTGTGATTCCTTTCTAAGCCTATTATCAGTGTTTGAATAACATTCATGTTCTGATACAAGCTTTCTTTCAACACAACATTATTTAACCCAGAAATAGACAAAAAAGAATTGATGTATCGTTCCATAAATCCTTATCTTATGCCTGAGGAGATTGAATTTTTATGAGGATCTTTTATGAAAAGGATAGTGTCACAAAAGTTCACTAAAGTTCGCAAAGATAACTTGATGTTATCAGTCTGTTAGCATTCCGAGTGATTTTTAGAAGTGAATTTATAATGCTGTATGAAAAAGATTCAAGCTGTTATCAATTAATCCACCTGTCAGTGTCATGTGGTTATTACTGTTATGTGGTTTGACATATTTAAATATTCTCCTTTTCCAGACTTGGTAACAAAACACATGCCCATAATCAGGGGAGACTACTCTAAATGTTAAAAGACAAAAGGGACATAACTCACCAGTGGTGAATGAAACACTCCACTTAGTGGTGCAAGTTTCGGTGGTCCTCGGTCGCAGTCTTCGTAAATATTGTCCAACTGCATATCAACTTCCAAATTTGTGTTGCTATGGCAACTACGCATGGATTGCATCCCGCTAGCGATGGTGTACTTGAGCGCTAGGGGGGACCAAGTTTTTCTCCGAACATCTTCAAGGTTGTAAGGGTATGGGTACATGGAATGGCTGACGTCCAACGGGGCACTGTTTTCTTTATTGGAATGATCAGAATGGCAGGAAGACGTGCTGTACGTCCTCCGATACAACTGAGATGACGATGACGTGCGCTGCTGCGATGATAATGTCCGCGGTGTCGAGTGCTGTGACAGGTGCGACATGGACTGCGTCATGAGTTGTTGCTGCGATGCCGACTTGTTTCTGGGTGGGATGATGGTGTAGTCAGACTCTCCACTGTCGTCTGGTATTGGTTCAAATATGTACTTGACCTCGTGCGAATATGTGGAATAGTTGGACAGGGGACTGTATATGTCATCCTGACTTGGGTGGCTTGAGAGGTCATCGTCATGGAGACAAGGTTCTGACCCTGAATGACTCTGGGCAGCCATCTTTATGTTTTACTGCATGGCTGAAAGATAAGAATAAAACATGAATATTGTGCAAGATGTGATAATAATGATTCTAAGAATGGAATTACATTCAGAGACGGAATCATGACATCAATATCTGACATCTTTGCATTGAACTATGGGTCAAGAAGAAAGCACATTTATGTCTAAAATCAGGTTTTGTCAAACATAGGACGTCACACAGCTCCCAACTCAACTTAGTTGGGTTAAACAATGCTATAAACAGTATTCCAGCTATTTCATTTCAGCTCGATGTTTGAGGAAAATCCTAAGTGATGCAGGTCTGAGACATTTACCAGGACTGACTGACTGAGTTTAGTTTTACGCCGCTTTTAGCAATATTCCAGCAACATCACGGCGGGGGGCTCCAGAAATGGGCTTCACACATTGTGCCCATGTGGAGAGTCTTCGGTGACGATAATGCTTTAACCACTAGGCTACCCCACCGCCCCCATTTACCAGGAATATAATCTTATTGAACTGATGAGATTCAAACCAATGCTTAGTGGTTTCTGCGTGCTCAAGGGAGACAACTATGCAAGTACAACGGCGATGCGTAAGAAGGCTGAGCCACCTCTGCTGCAGCCAACTAATATGAAATAGTTTTCATTTGCTTAACACATAGAGATCAATTTCAGAGTTCAAAGCTGTGTACAATGTATAACCCAGCTAAACAATCAACAGAGGATTATAGGCTTGAAGAATAACCCAGTGTTATAGATAGCTGGCAATATTGAATGACCTCGGTGATCATACAGGTTCCTGGTGACAAATCTTAACCAATATTGGATGTTTTTACTAGGGGTGACTATCGAGGGGGAAACAACTATTGCAATATCGATAGTCTATTGCAACAAACTATTGTGACAGCAATAGACTATTGTGACCAACTATTGCAATAGTTTTGTTTCTCCTTGAATTGTCTAATTTGAAGTCGTTTGCCAAACAGGTAATGCACGAGATACTACTGGTATTACAACCAGAGTAAGAGTGATAGAAGAACCGCTTGTAAATGAGCAGAGAGGAATAAAGTATGAGATACGCAAATGTATGGGGAAATACATCCGGCGACAAATGTATAGTTTATATGAAAAAACCCCAAGCTGAAGTAGTTTCAGTCTCATCTAATAACTGACAAGAAACTTGAAATCCAGATAAAGATTGTTTTAGAGGTAAAGGGGCAGATAACTCTAAATCAAAGTGAAGGAATCAGGTACTTCCCGTGTTTTGCTCTGTGCAATTATCAACGGAGGTCAATTACTAAACTATCGATAGTCTGACTGACTGACTGAGTTTAGTTTTATGCCGCTTTTAGCAATATTCCAGCAATATCACGGCAGGGGACACCAGAAATGCTTCATAGTCACATATACTATCTGTTGCCTCGATATTTTTTCGTTTCTACCATAGATTAATTGCTATCGGAGACTCAACAATTGCAATCCATCGATAGTTCGATGCATCGTTACAGCCCTAGTTTTACCCCATGAGAGGTCTGTTATGGGATTTAAGGCAGATGATGTGACATAAACATTGATGCATAGTCATTAATATCCCGTCAACATTATACATTTCATGTTGATTTCATGATCACGTCAATTGACATTTCATGTTCACGTCAATCGACATATGTTGATTTCATGTTCATGTCAGTCGACATTCCATTATGATTTCATGTTCACGTTAAACAAAACCATGTTATCTACCACAGCAACACGGAACACACAGACACACCACCAATCACAGCCTTGTTTTATCATACCTCGAGACACAATGTAACATAATGTAACCAATCAGTGCATTACAATCAATAAACTACCGACATCATGTACATTAGTGTGTACATGGGAACTAATCTTACATGTATCAAAATAGCAACAACAGAGCATGTTCCGGACTATGCGCAAGTGCAATGGCTCCTGGTAACGTAATATCTAGCTGAATATAAAACACACACCTTTGAATAAGCTCTGTTTACTTACGACTTCAACTAACTCAAGTTCAAGGGCATCATCATTGTAGCTGATATCAAGCAACCCCTTATTATCGACATCATCAAATAGCGTAGGTTGAAATCCACATGTCGCTAAGTGCAGTGTACACACAGTGTAGCAGGTGCTGTGAAACATGGCTGAAATCGGTGTGAAATATCTCCCACCAATAGAAAGATTTCAAATACTGCATACGAATTTACATACGGTCATGAGAGCATTAAGCATACATGAAAGTCAAAAGAGTTTTTCATGGATTTACAATAATTCCTGCGTCCTATACACATAAAAATTGACAATGGATGCAACAAATTTTGTAATTTTGTAAAAATTCCAATCAAGTGACAATAAGTTATCACTGAGTTTGTTACTAGCTGGGTTATGGTATTATTTGCAATTTAAATTCTGTAAAAATGTGATGATCATGATACACAATACAATAACAGTATTAATAATAATATTTAAGTGTCCGGGACCCCCATTTTGTTGTCCAGGACCCTGAAAATTAACAGTATGAGTCCCAGGGACCCACAAATACAGGACTCAAGGTAAATCCCTGGTTTTCACTTTTTACTTATTTTTTCGATGTAAAACAAGCCACATTAAAACTGACCTACCTGTGAAGAAACGTCTTACAAACAAGCAAACACATACAGCAATGCATGTACATTTCGCTGCTGTCAGTCACAGATCAAGGTAACATGTTTTTTCAAATTTTCATGACTACATTCTTTGCTACCAAACTGTAAGTCACATCATCTCCATACCATAATGGTGCCTCAGAAATCCATGGAATTTGTGAGGTCCTCTCACAACAATGACCTTATAGTGAGGTTATTCCACTTGGTTGGGCATCATGTCAGTTCAATGATAATTTGATTCATAATTCATGATAGTCATAAACCCATCCATTGCAACAGCGACAACGATCTGTCAATTCGATGAAGCATAGCTGAGAATTACTGGGCTTCAAAGGACAGCCATGTAACCACTTCGGTCTCATTATTGTACAATAACGTCGTTGTAAACTTGCTTTGTGTTTGAGCTATGAAAGTACAAAATAAATTGAAACATAACGTCAAAATTACCAGGTTGAGTAAAAATGATTTTGACAGCTGACATTCAACGCTGTGCACTTCCTGTCTGAAATGTCCAACCCAAAAATAATTGTAGGGAAATTAGTTATTTTGTGTAAACAATGGTTCAGGTTTTTTTCATCAGTATTCAGTAGAAATTATGTAACCCATACTCTTGATGAGGTGAGATGAGGTGAGGTGAAATTGGGTTTAACGTCGTGCTTGAGAATATATCGCTCATATGATGACGTGCATGCATATGTGTATGTGCGTGCGGCTGCTTGTACTAGCCCACACTGAAGCTGGTTTTATAGTGCTAGCCCACTGAGATACCATGCCGCAGTGAAGCATGAATACCCCACTCAGACACATTATACTGACTCCGAGCCGACCAGTCCTTGTACCCATTAATGCCGAGCGCCAGGCAGGGACCAACAAGTACCATATTTTAACGTCTTTTGGTAAGACGCGGGCGGGGATTGACCCCGCGACCTTCGGCTCTCCTGGGCAGACGCTCTAACCACTACACCATGGAGGCGGTTGACTTTAGAACGTGTTCTGTTGCTTCTATTTGTTTGATATTATACTCTTGATAAATCCATGGCAGGAAAATGACACAATAAAAAAACAAATTTCTCAATTATAATTTGTCATTATGTTCCATAAAGGATATTGTAGGAACCTTTATTGAACTAGCTGTTATTGAACTCCAGTTCTAGTTCTATTTGACAAAGCAGTGACTATATATTGTTGCCAGTTTTTTCAACAATACTGAAGTTCAATAAAAGTAAAACAATGTCTAGAAACAAAAAAATGATTGATAGCACGAACACATGATTGACAGCATGGACATACCAGCGCTATGTTACAGTAGAAAGTGTTGTTATTCTACTTGAAGTAGTTTTTGATGTAACCTTATGACTAAAGTGGTACAAAATGTCAAGTGGCAGCAAGAGGAATTTAGAGTTACTGCCCTTGTTTACATGAGTATGGCAGGTTTCATCATTTGAGAAGTTTCAGATGGGACTCTTTCTAGAAGGCTCAATGTATTGAAATAGCAATGACAAATGGGCAATTTAAAACCATTTTTCTACCTGACTTATGTCTTATCTTATTGGCAAGTGCAGTCTGGACTGCTGTTTGTACTAGTTCTGACCACGTTTTGGATTCAAGAATGGACACAGGCTAGTGACATACATCAGTGACAAGATTCTTGAGTGTTTTACCTCAGCTCTAGGGCGTGTTACTTATTGCTAATGTCACATTTGACCCATGATCCTGGCTTGTTTTTATGGAAAGCTGAAGCTGTGTGTTTGAACAGAGCTAGCTGATTATTCATTGATTTTATGTGTGTGTTTATACTGATTTCTGGGGCAGAGTGGTTACAGACTGTAGACCTGGGTTCGATTCTCCACATAGGTACAATGTGTGAAGCCAAATTCTGGTGTCGCCCGCCATGATATTGCTGGAATATGGCTAAAAGCAGTGTAAGACTAAATTCACTCACTCACATTATACTGATTTCTGGGTTACATCAGTCCGATTGCACATACAACCTATGCTATATTTGGAATTTCGGCTGTAATATTGCCGATGCGAGGTAAAAAAAAATCACTACAGATTCTTGTACTTTTTGGGGTTGAGTACCACCCAGGATATCGAACCCACACTCTCAGACTGAGTGAGTGAGTGAGTTTAGTTTTACGCCGCTTTTAGCAATATTCCAGCAATATCACCGCGGGGGACACCAGAAATGGACTTCACACATTGTGCCCATGTGGGGAATCGAACCCGGGTCTTCGGTGACGAGCGAATGCTTTAACCACTAGGGTACCCCACCGCCCTCTCAGACTGAGGCACCAGCACACCAAGTCAGCAATCTAACCACTCTAGCCACCAATCATCATGGAGGCTAACCCTAATAATAATAAT